TAAAGTGCCCATATTTGGAAGAGGACAGGGTTTGGTGAAATAAAATTGAGGATTTGGTGGCTCGAAGTGGAATATGAAATGATACTTTCATACGTAATTCCCTTCCCGAGCAACAATTATTTCGCATCGTTTACGCTTTCTTAATTCTTCCATTTTTTTAAAAAATGCTTCTCCTCGGGAATCGTCATAACGCATCCCTTTGGTCCCGCCTCGAGTTGGAGGTAAAACATCGACCAAATGACCGTCTCTCTAGGTTCCTTGCGATTCTTTCTGGCCGTTTGGAAACAAACGACTTCCGCCGGAACTACTGCTTTCTCGACGGGGATAATGGTGGAAGATGGTGGAATTTATAGGCCATCGGGAAACTAGTGCTACTGTAGAGTATTCGCGCACATGCTGGAAGAAATATAAAAATTTTTGCCGTTCGATCGGGACACACGATTCTGATTTTCCTAAGTAATTTCACTTTGCAAATCTACCGGCACGAGTTCCTTAACTCTGGACCGAAGGAAATCGCAAAATTATAAAGATAACAGCTAGAATAATTATCTTTTATCTCGACGAAACTCTAACCCAGATTTCTACAAAAGCGCTTTAACAAATTCCCTAACCTTAAATCCTTGTTTTCAAAGGGTTCTCTGGAATTCAATTTACGTCCCAGAATCTTTTAGAATTAAAAGTAAGTGACATTTATGCATTGATATCCGAAATTTAATCGAAGAATCCGAGTCTTTCGGCCTCGATCTGCCGACGCGGCGACGATAAAAACTCATTAGCATCGGGGAGGGTGTCGCTTAATCGTGAGTCATTTTGTCCTCGAGTTAGGGGTGAGCCCCGATGGCGGGTCAAAGGTCAAAAGGCAGAATGATTGAAGAGCCAATTTGCAAAATCGAGCTCTGTACGCCGCTGTATAATTATACAAAGAATATTTTTTAAAAAAGAATCATACAAAAATATCGCTTCTTCGCCTCAAAATCTTTGAACTACGAATTCGCTGAATTTGAATCTTTTACGTCAACATGGCTGACATAAGCGCTATCCTCGTCCGCCTATGCAGAAGTTTCTCAGTTTTCCCGCATGATGCCCCCAGCATCGTTTTGGACTTGGGCCATAACTCCTGTTAACCCTTAAAACAATTTGAAAACAATATGAAACGATGAAATTTGTTTGTAAATTGAGCTCCAATTACGCGAGCTAGACCTCAATGGCAATAAACGTGATGCATAATACATCGAGACGTGCAAAGTATACATCAGGCGCAAGCTCGAGGCTATCCGTGTTATTGCATTATTCAGGAACGGCGGGTTGCGGCGTCGTGTGTCCCCGAATCGAATGATAATTAATATTCGCGAGGGAGCTACCAATTAGCGGAATCCTTGCACGTTTGCACAGCAAAGAGTGAGAAGCGATAGGGAATGGGGATAAAGACAGAAGGAAGAGGGATGCTGGTCGCTTCGATACTGCCGAATCTAATCTCTAACCCCTTTAACCACCGATGTAATTACAATGACGATTCCCGATAATAGCCTGCGTCGCGTCGTCATCCTCGAATTTCGAGAAGCTCTTTTCCTCGGGCCAACGCCGGAGATGCTCGTTTAAGCAGCCTCGTTCCTGCTAATTACCGCAATCATGCCAACCAGATTATCGCCTGTAGCCCGGGGCGTTTCTCAAACCTTGCAAGACTATCTTACCTCTTGCACGGAATATCCGTCTTCTTATTATTTTGTCAAGGCTACATCCCTGTCAAGAAAAAAACACATTTACTCCCCTAAGGATAATCCAAAAATATGAAATTACCTGGCTTTTGCATGAATAAGAGGTTAAGGTAAAAATATGAAAGTAGTATAGTTCGTCTCGTTATCATTTTGTATAGGGTGAATTTTGGGTGTCGTTCGGGGAAGAGGGTGGTTTCTTGCGTAAAAATGAACTGAAGAAATAAGAAGTGATCTGAATTTTTGCGTAAATAAGAAGTTATGGTAAAGACACTAAAGTGGAATGTTCCTTTTCTTATTACTTATTTCATAAAAGGTGAGAGTGAATTCAGGGCGCTGTCAGGAAAAGGGTGAATGAACTGAATATATGAAATTACATACATGGTTGTTGCATAAGTAAGAAGTTATAATAAAGATAAGATCAGCGCCGGATCAAGATGGATCTAAGAAGGGCCATAGTCCCAGCCTCTCTTTCCAGGGGATTCCTTCTAAACCTTCCATTTACTATGTCAAAAATTCCAAGATTTGAAAGCCTCTATAATTTTACAAATTGTATACCCAATTGTTATTGTAAAAATAAATCCTTGTAAATTTGATATTTTCAACCAAGTTTATCAATCAAGGGAGTTTTTCGAGGGTTGGATAGCTGAGGTCCCAGATACTATTCGTCTTCTTATTATTTTGTGAAGGACACGGTAGTGTTTAATACATTATGAATTCAAATTGAAAAAAAGAAGAAATACTTTTTAAAAATTCGTCAATATTGTAATCCTATTCAAGAGAACATCCGCCAAGCTAATACGATTTGATTCCGTACAAATTGCGATCGATTATTATCGAAGAATCAAATAGGTATTTGCTTTTTAAAATGAGATGCCATGAATGGCAGGACGATAAATTGATTTGATCACAAAGTCTGGAATAAACTCACCCCCTTTCGTTCTGTCGCATTGGAAACGAATTCAGGGGCTGAATCATCTTCCGGATATAATGGACCTTCAGATTTCTAAATAAGTTTCCGATAAGACTCCGACTTGCCGTGCCTTTCATTTCAATTATATTGAATTGAACAAGTCTGTCCCATCGATTTCCAACTGTTTATCAATAACATTGTATAAAATTCATCAAATTGCTCAGCTATTTATTTATAACACTCTATGCGCTACATCAAACTCGTAATTTTATTTTAATTGCAATTTGACGATTGTACTTTGAAAATTAATCACTTTGCCACATTAGTGGCACAGAAAGAAAATGAAAAGTAGGAAAATCATAAGTCTCAACAAAGTGGTAATAGTAAACACATAATTAGGGTAGGAATATCAACAGAGCTAAGACATTTACTTAACCTTTTTCTTTTTACGTGGTGAAAATCTTCAAAAGACACCCCCCGCCTCCCTCGGTAGTGTCGACACTCCCCACCCCTCGCTCGCCTACCTCTGGCGTAGCAGGGGGAGCCCCGGGATCTCTTACGAACCCAACGGGTGCTCCCTCGCGCCATGACATTTATTTAACCTAACCTAATCTTACCTCACCTAACCTAACCCTTAATCGCGTTCCAGGTGCACCGGAGGAGAAGCTTTGGGCAAATCTACCAGCACTTCCGGAACGACCTACAACTCCTCGAACAACAACGACAAGCGTTGGTACAACCTACAGACCATGGAGAACACGACCCACCAGGCCGAATCACTATCCAAACGAGGAACAACCTCGACGCCCTAATCATTACCCACAAAAGCCAGATTACAGGACGGAGAGACCAGAGGAACGACCTTCGAGGCCTCACAAGCCTCACAGACACCATACGACCACCACAACAACCACCATGAGGCCGAGGCATCGATGGACACAGCCACCTAGAATCGACGTGCCCGATAAATGCGACACCTCTTACGATGCCATCAGCATTATTCGCACAGAGATATTTGTGTTTAAAGGCCGGGTATATATCTAATCACGCTTTGCCGCGTTAATAGCTTAAAATGTCCTCTAATATTTGTTTCTTGTTTTAGTATCTGTGGAGGATCGGTGAGCATGGACTATACGAGGGATATCCGGCGGAGATCACGCGGCTGTTCAATTTATCTGAAAACATCGACCACGTGGACGCGGTTTACGAAAGGCCGGACAAAAAGATAGTCTTCTTTATCGGCAAGAAATACTACGTTTTCAATGCCACTAATTTGGAACTGGGTTATCCAAAACCGTTAACCACGCTAGGATTGCCGGAGTCATTGGAGAAGGTGGATGGGGCGATGATCTGGGGACACAATGGGAAAACTTATTTTTTCAGTGGTTCCATGTACTGGAGGTAAAAAAACATTGATTGGTGCAGCGTCAAATTAAATTTTAAAAAATATTAAATTAATTTTTTCTTACTATTGCCCTGTTCCTTTAAGATCAGATGCTATTTAATTAAAATAAATTTCAGTTTTTTAACTAAGTTTATCAATCAAGGGAGCCCTCGAATAGTACTGGAGCCCCAAAAATCTTTATTTAGGTACCTCAGTGTCAATTTTATTGCTATAAAGTATTTATTTATGTAGGTTTGACGAGTCTGTGAACTACGTGGAACTGGATTATCCAAGAGACATAAGCATGTTCGCTGGTGTTGGAAACGATATCGACGCTGTTTTTCAATGGACAGATGGTATTTGTTCGTAATTAAACCATTGTAAATGCATCGAACATGTTTTAAATAAACATTGTATTTCTTCAGGTAAAACGTACTTCTTCAAAGGGAAAGGTTTCTGGAAATTCGACGATAGGAGGATGAAAGTTGCCCACGAAAGGCAGAAATTATCGGCGCCCGTTTGGATGGGCTGTCCTCGGGAATTGGAGACCAACGACGTTGAAACTTATCCAAGGAAATCGAAGATAATGATCGCGAACAAAGCGTCGGCGCCGCAAACCTTCTTCCTCGGACTATTTTTTATAGCATATTTGAACAAATATTTGTAAACTGTGATATTTATGTAAAAGCCGCGTGTAAACGTGACCAACTTACGCGGCCCCGGTCTAAATTTTAACGCACTTCCCTTATACCGATTATACAAAATTAAAGTAATTTTAATAAAGTAATTTTTAAATAATTTTAATAAAAATTTTTAATAAACGACTTATCCCATTTGTAGAATTTTATTCCCTCTCTTCTCTCTGTGCTCATTTTCTCTTTTACCAGTAAACGTACGTACAAACCGTGAATGATTAAAACCTCGTTTGTTTCACTTATTGCTAGTAAAGTTGAATAATTTCTATAGAAAGAACAGGATATGGAAGCTTTAATTATCGTGTAACTCATATATTTAACAAAAACATATACAGTGTTCATTTGTTGGGTCAACTTTAAACGATATGTTAACAGAATCTCTTTACAGTTTTTACATTCTGCTTTGGCGAGTGAATAAATAGACTCTCTGTTTTGCTCGCTTTCTCTTGCCGCAGACGTTCAAGAACCATTTTGTTTGAGCAACAAAATAACGCGACTATGGTGAATTCGGCAAAGCGTAATCGGACAAGCTGAAACTTGTTGTTGGACATGAATTTTATTATGAGCATAAATTAGTTGAATTCCACCATAGTACGCGATTTCCTTTCGCTTTTAGTTTGATTTTCCTTCACCAAGATAGTTTCACATTCTATGTGTATGATAAAGCTTCGTTGAACGTTTAGTTCTTTCCTCCTCATGCTAAAGGCGCATATTCGGCGGCGAGTATGGGTCCCAAGGGTTAAGCGATCTCAGTGTAGTTTGGACAATGGTGTCTACTTCTGCCATTCCTCCAATTCCGGTGTCACCGCACATAAGAGTTTTAGAAATGCAAGTGACTTCCTTGTATCCCCAAGATTTAAGTAGAGCTACCTGTACAGTACAAGAATAATCAAAATTAATTAGCTCGTGGAATAAAATAAAATAAGAAAGAGATATAACTGTTTTACCTGTGGTGCAGTTACAGGATGTTCCCACATTTTTGTATTCATAGCAGGGCAAAAAATCAAAGGCTTGGAATGATCCCAGGCACGAGCAACACAGGTTAAAATATTATCGCATATACCGCTTGCTATTTTCCCAAGCGTATTGGCATCTAATGGAGCAATCAAAAACAAATCTGCCCACTTGACTAGGTCTATGTGCAATACAGGATCTCCTCTGTCTTGCCAAGCAGCCCATTCTACCGTGTCTGACAAGACTTGAATTCCTGAAGGCAGTTCTGCTTCTTTCATAAAATGCTTAGCTTTTTCAGTAACCACTATTCTTACTTCCAAATTGTTTTGCCACAATTTCTGTACTAATTGCGGCAATTTAATGGTGGCTACACTACCGGTACATCCAATTAGAACTCTCTTTCTAGAAATGCAATGCGACATTTTGAACTATTTAGGTTTTTAACTTGGAACTCTTTTCTAACAATTTATTTTTATTATTTTCTGCTTATATTATAGAAACCTTTACTATTGATTTTCTCAACAGATGATATGGAATAGGTTTGGACTTTTCAACAATGACAACAATTTACTATTATTCTTTTAGGCCATCTAGTGCAAGTTGCAAGATGCCTTGATTACTTAGATCCACAGGAAACTACACTTAACAAAGATCTAAGTTAAATGGAATATCTTCTTTTTAAATCTCTATAACAGATGTGCTATTGTTTCTACCAAGTTGCTTCAAATGCTTAATAACTTATTTTCCAAATCTGTCCACTGCACTGGAATCACTTTAATTTGTGTTTAATGAAACTCACTATTTCATACTGTCTAGTCACCATTCGCCAATCGTATTAAATAAAAGTATGTATACATATAATTTCTAAACACATATATACGTATATATTATCTAAAAATTTATCAGTAAAATCTGTTAATCTCTTTTTCAAGGTAAAACAAATGCAATAATCAGCAGGAAAGTTCGTAAATCTACTATGTCGCGCAAATCGATTAGTAATAAATCGCTGTTGTTATGTCTCCTTGACCTCATCAGAGTAACCAAGAGCGGACCAATCTTCTCGCACCATTAGCTCGTTATCCATTCGGCAAGCAAGGTATTCTTTTGCTACGCTTCTGCACATTGTATTCTCGTTCTTATTTTGAAACAAACAGCGCATATACTTGATCATAAGCTCCTTGCAGGATCCCTCATGGTCGAGCGGAAAACTTCCTTTCTCGGGAGGAATCGGTGTAAATGCTTTTTGGTTAAATGTGTACGAGGACATCACTACCGATAGCAACGTTCATGCAGAAAACTTAGTACATGAAAATAGACGATTAATTTTACAATGAACTATTATACGGACCTCTTATCCAACACACAACAAAATCCTACCGCCATTGTAGTAAAATACTAACAGTGACTACAGATACAAAAAGATTGGACATGCTTTGTCGAGAGGTCATGATTCTGGGGGCTCAGACACCCCCAGACGAAATTACTGCACCTACGCCTGTAGAGGAGGTGTGATACACCGAGCGAGTAGGCATTATGCCCAATCCTGGGGAGAGGCCGGGGGTAGTGCCGGATTTTTACCGGCTAAAACCCCCACGGTAACCTGCACTGGGCGCAAGGGAGGGCCCGGGACCTCTTGCGAACATTCCGGGACCCTCCCACATTATTACCATCCTATTTCGACCTGAAAATTTTAGTTGAAATACTTTACCAGAGTCCATAACTGCGACGCGCAGGTTGGAAGATGGTGGGGGAACGCAGCGAGCTCTCTGCTAATCGCTTTCCACTTCGTTTGGAAGCATCGCCAATCAGGGCGAAGATGCGCACTGGAGAAGCGCGAAGAACGAAAACTGGTCTTTTCGCAGTTATGGACTCTGGTGAACTGTGGTATAAAGCTTTTTACAAATTTGGTTCCATTTTTTTAAAAATTGATACCTTTTTTTGTAAAATTTTAGTTCAAATTTTTGTGCAAATTCAGTTCCAATCATTTCCTTACGAGGAAAGAAATTACATCCATTTAATAAATAAGTAGGGAAAGAAATTGCGTAAATTAAATAAATAACTCAGAAAGGAGGTTGGATAAATTAAATATGTAACTCATTTGCTATTTTAAAATGATTTATTTACCAAGGCACATGGAATAATGTTTTAATTTTCTACTAGTTTTGATTAATTTATAAAAAATATAGTCAGAGGGAGTTAAAATTGTATCTTTTCTGATGTCAGTGTGCGGTGCGACAAAAGAGGGACCGGTAAAAGAAACACGATTGTTATGCCGACTGTTCCGTTCATGCAGTTCTAACAGCGCCTGGGGGTGTCTGGGACCCCTATACATATTATGACCTCTCGAGAGCAAAGGCATGTCCAGTCTTTTTGTACCTGTAGCCATAGCCACTGATGAAAGTGATAAATAGAAAGAGAAACACGAGGTTTATATGTGCATAAATTAGGAAGATATAAAATTGTATTTATTAATTATTAAAAAATGGAAGAAGATAGTCAAAAATTAGATGGAGCTGAGGAAAATGCAAACGAAGTAACTTGGAAGGATTTAGTAAGCTCAAATATCCGTACTCGAATAATGTAACCTAGACATAACAAGTTCCTTATGTTTCTCTTTTAATGTTTATAGAATGATTGTAACTTAATAATACGAATTTGTAATGAAAAAGATTCTTCTATAAAATTACGATAAATCAATTAAATTTTATATATATGTTAATATACTAACAGTTTATTTGAATGATTAGGTTATAAATCATAACCTAATACATGTAATAGTAAAATAATTTGTGAATTTTATAAATAAATTTATTTAGTAGGCAATATTTTCGAATTTCATATTTAGTATTTAATATATATCTATACTAAATATATTAAAAAATAAGATAATCTGTAATTGCAGTTTATAAAAATGTTTATAGGGAATTGTAGATGTATTATGCACAGCCTGTGAAGATTTAAAATGGAAATCACCTACAAAAATTCAACGTGAATCTATTCCATTATCGCTACAAGGTAAATTTAATAAAAATGTATGTATTATAATATTTAAATAACTAATAAATTTTCTAATCAAAATTTAACATAATGTTTATTAGGTAAAGATATAATAGGATTGGCAGAAACTGGTTCTGGAAAAACTGCTGCTTTTGCACTGCCTATATTGCAAGCATTATTAGAAAGTCCTCAAAGATACTTTGCTTTAATTCTAACACCTACCAGAGAGTTAGCATTTCAAATATCAGAACAGTTTGAAGCTTTAGGTAATAAATACTATTAGTTAATTATTCAACAATTCTTTAATTAATATGGATAATCTTATAATTTAGGCTCAAGTATTGGTGTAAAATGTGCAGTAATAGTAGGTGGAATGGATATGATGTCCCAAGCATTAATATTGGCAAAGAAACCTCATATTTTAATTGCCACTCCTGGGAGATTAATCGATCATTTGGAAAATACAAAGGGCTTCAATTTACGTTCTTTAAAATTTTTGGTAATAATTCTTTGTTTATTATAGTTAAAGAAATCAGTATATGTATTATTTAAATGTTATAAGGTCATGGATGAAGCAGATCGAATTTTGAACATGGATTTCGAAGTCGAGGTGGACAAAATTCTAAGAGTAATTCCTCGGGAAAGAAGAACGTTATTGTTCTCGGCAACAATGACTAAAAAGGTTCAAAAACTACAACGAGCGTCTTTGCGAAATCCCGTTAAAGTGGAAGTTTCAACAAAGTATCAAACTGTTGAGAAATTACAACAATATTACATATTTATTCCAGTTAAATTTAAGGTTTAAATAATTCTTTGAATTTTTAATTTTCATAAAATTTTTCGTTTTATAATGAATTCTTACATTTTAGGATGTCTATCTTGTACATATCTTAAATGAACTAGCAGGTAACAGTTTTATGATTTTTTGTGCTACTTGTAATAATACAGTTAGAACTGCTCTTCTTTTACGAAACTTGGGTTTCACCGCTGTCCCTTTACATGGACAAATGTCGCAAAATAAAAGAATAGCTGCTCTTACTAAATTCAAGGCAAAAAATCGATCTATACTTATTTCTACGGACGTTGCCAGCAGGTAAATGTCGTATATTCTTCAGGGCATTCAATTACAAAAATATTGCTTCTAATCTGTCACATTTTTCTTTTCTTTTCTTTTCTAGAGGTCTTGATATTCCTCATGTAGATATTGTAATAAATTTTGATATACCTACGCACAGTAAAGATTATATACACAGAGTTGGACGTACCGCACGTGCAGGTCGTTCTGGTCGTTCCATTACATTTGTAACACAGTATGACGTAGAGTTATATCAAAGAATAGAACAATTAATATCAAAGCAATTACCCTTGTATCCCACACAAGAAGAGGAAGTGATGGTACTTCAAGAAAGAGTAGCCGAAGTGCAACGTATTGTAAAAATGGTAAATCTAATTTCTTCCCATTTGATTCAGTTATTCGTATAAACAACGAAAGAATATAAAATAACATTATTATATTGTTTCAGGAACTGAAAGATATTGAAGACAACAAAAAGGCAGGCAAAAGAAAGAAATATCAAGGCGATAACGAAGACGATGATACAGAACAATCCATGGGAGTAAGGAAAAGGATAAAGGGGAAAAGCAGAGGAAAAGGAAGAAAGGGTTAAATAGTTCCACCACTTTAACCACCACGTTTACTCTTCCTTAATAAATAATGGAAACGCAAAATGGTATCTGTTTTTATTTTCATTGTTATTCGTTTTATTTATAAATCAGACCACCATTCCCCTCATATATGTTCATTTCAAACTCACACTTTGTATTAAAATCCTTAAGTAACTGTCAATTTACAAAACCACATTTTACTCCCTTTTGCAACTTTTTAAATATCTATCTTTTATAAAATGACGAGAATGGATCTTTTTAATGATAACCGCCGTATGAATTTATCACTATGTGACTAATGAAACTAATTGGTTATCGAGCTTTCCAAAGAAAAACCTAAATACTTTTATGTAAACACAGTAAAATAAAAATAATCACTTATTATCGAAAAAAAAATCAATATATTGTAATAATCATTTTAAATTTTTGAGTAACGAACATCTTCACCCAAACGGGAGAAATATAAAGCATGTAATTAAAAATCACAATCCTTTAACCATTATCATTTGTAATATGCATCACTATTTGTTGATATTAAAAAAACAAAAAATCAAAGACAACTTCCTAAGCTGCACAACCAATTCAGTTTTCTACTTGCACGCTTCTACCTAAATTACAAAGCAGAATCTTGTTTATTAGAAAATGCAAGACAAAGATTAGCATTTAATATATTGAAAGAGCGGTAAAACATTGTAACAAATATAAAAGTGTTATATACAGTACACCGTTGTAAAATTTGTTAAATTTTTCTCTTCAAACCTCTATAGAAATCAGAAATTAGCATTGTACAAGTTCTCATAGTACAAAATATCCTGGAACGGTACTGTTCCTCTTTAACTTTATGATTATAATGCAACATCTAAAGTCTACGATATTATTCAACTGTATAAAGTAGCAACAAATTCTTATGTTATTTTTCTGCGTATAATATTGAATGTTTGTATCATTTTTTCCTTTTAATAAGTATATCAGATATTGCGAAACGGATCACGTGTAACGTGCACTAGAGAATAATGTAGTGCTGCATAAAGTGAAAAGTGTTTAAGTTGTGTATCTAGCTCCTCGTTGCAAGTTAAAACTGTAAATCTTATTGACCTAACTTTTGTGAATATTATTATCAACAAGCATGACACATTCGATACGTGTTAACGTATTGAACACCATTAAAAAATCATTAGTATCGGATGGTGCATAACTCTGTTGCAAAGTTTCTGTCGAACGTGTTAAGAACAATGAAATCTGAAGCACATTTGCGAACTTGTAAATCAACATTTACTGCAACACCTTTTGCTCTCGAAGAAATAAGATCATCTCGACACAAATATTGCCTCTAAATGAAATTGTATAAAAAATCTTGGCTAGGTGCTATCATGCAAATATAGAGGTTGCCGCAAAATCTGATTATAACCGGAGTATCTGTTTAAAATACATCTACTCTTTGTTCACTAATTGTAAGTTAATCACCATCCTAACGCTAAGTCAATTGGATGAGAAATCTCAACGTTTCTTTATTACTACTGGATGCAATATGCCTAATCTCGTTGTCGAAGGCTTTTTGTAATGACGAATAGCGCGTGCAAGCGATCACTTCAGTTTCTGAAGCAAAACTTTGTCTGAAATTATTTATTCCAAATGCCGATACTGCCAGACATCATTTCGTTGGAAACATCTCGTCGATTAAAGAAATAGAGAAATATACATGTATGTACATATCAAATTGCTTAAATTATTTCTTC